ATCCTCTGGTCTTTGACTAAATTTCACCTTCTCAGTAAGGCCTTTCTTGACCACTGTACTTAAAATAGACCTCCCTTCCTGGCTGTGTGTGGTGGCTCACACCTGTAATCCCAGAACTTTGGGAGGCAGAACAGGCAAGTCACTTGAGCCTAGGAGTTCCAGACCAGCCTCGGCAACATGGTGAAACCCTGTCTCTATAAAAATACGAAAATTAGCCAAGCATGGTGGCACATGCCTGTAGTTCCAGCTACTGAGGAGGCTGGGATGGGAGTTTCACCTGGGCCCAGGAGGCCAAGAATGCAGTGAGCTGTGATCTCACCACTACACTCCAGCTTGGGCAACAGCTTGAGACCCTATCTCAAAAAAATACAAAAATAAAAATAAAGACCTGCCTTTCAAATTAATCTGCATTATAGCATATTTAATCCACCACAATAGACATTTCAATCTATAATTATTTTTCTATTTATCTTCTTATTTAATTCCCATCCCTACCCTTTAAAATTATTTTTAGAAGCTCCATGAAGTCAGCACCTGTGCCTGTTAATGAACAACTGAATCCACATGGCTAGATACCTGGCCTACAGATTTAGTTTATAACTATGTATTAAGTGAATGAATGATAAATGAATCTATAAATGAGCCAGATTAACCTCCCAGAAATTCACCTTACACAGATAACTTTATAGAGATAATGTTTCTAGAAACACATATTACCTATAAAGTAAGGAACTACACAACAGACACTGGATTAAAATCACAACTGTACCACTTACCAGCTACATAACCTTGGGCAAGATTTAATAGACTTCTCCCCTATTGAAAATGAAATAATAATAGACTTAACTAGCAGGTTAAGTTAATTAAAAAAAATCCTATTTTTATGAGGATTAAATGAGATAACTGGCAACATTCTTACTTAGCACAGTGTCTGATGATACTTATATACAAAATGAATTCTTATAAGATACTTTTCTATGAAAACTCAGGAGACATGGAGCCATTTTTATACATAGAGGATTTAGTATCAGGAATGCAATTCAATCATTTTCACTAAATATACCATATTATGTGTTAGTCTCTGTGCTAGCCACCTGCTGAACAAATATGAATTAGGCATGGTTCCTGTCCCCCAGAAATCACAGGGTATTGCTATGTCACATCCCTTAGAGCACAGTGTGAATACTTGGCACTGTTAACTTACGAACCTCACAGCCCATCCTACTCTCTCTCTTGTCCACCTTTGTTACTAAGAACATGCTTGATCAGGCTGAGACTCCACCCTAGGTTCACAGGACATCCTCCTTCTCTGTGGTCATCTACCTGGCTTGATCTGAGCAATCTTGAGAGCGTCACAGCCAAATTTTAGCTCACAATATTGCTCTACATTCATTACTAGCTTCTGAAATGGTCTATTTTCAAGCCATTCCCACCTCACCCTACTTCCCATCACTTGACAAACTCAGACTTAGCCATCAGGGAAACTCGGCTTTGACATTCAACTTCCAAGAAGCCATTCCTGATCCCCTAAGACTGGTTTGAGTGCACCTCATTTGCATTCCCTTAGCAAGCCACATTACCCCTGCCACAGCCCTTATAACATTGAATTGTTATCTCTTTCTCCATTGGACTATGAGTTCCTTGGAAGCAGATGATGCATCTTATTTATGTCAGCATACCTAGTGCCTAGAACACAATAGGCGTTTCACAAAATTATAAATAAGATTTCTGTTTTCATGATTCAGAGTCTTTGAGAAATTGGTCAGGGTGTTGGGAGTGGGGCAGAAATGAGTTGGTGGGGATGGGGGACAGAGGAGAATGCCATAATGCTATGCACCGACTATACAACAGATTTCTAAGATGTTTATGGGAATATTATAGTATGAACTCAGTTTATAAAACAATAAATAACCACCTATCTTGGTACATTTTCCCAGAAGATTAAAATAGGAGGATAAATTTTTTTTAAAAAAAAAAAGGGACGAGGGGCAGACAAAACACTCATGTGGAGTCCAGGCTAAGAAGCTTCCTTCACTTTTCTGTAAACCGGTTTCAAACTACACCTCAAGATCCATGTGAGGGAAGTTGAGTGTGGTGGCTTATGCCTGTAATCCCAGTACTTTGGGATGCCAAGGCAGGCATCTCACTTGAGGTTAGGAGTTCCAGATCACCCTGGCCAACATGAAGAAACCCCATCACTACTAAAAATACAAAAATTAGCTTGACATGGTGGAACATGCCTGTAGTCCTAGCTATTCAGAAGGCTGAGACACAAGAATCTCTTGAACTCAAGAGGCAGAGGTTGCAATAAGCCAAGATCGTGCTACTGCACACCAGCCTGGGTGACAGAGCAAGACTCCATCTCTAAAAAGAAAAACAAAACAAAACAAACAAAAAAGATCCATGTGTGGATATAAAATAATTTAATGTGCTGCAATCATCATTTTAAAAACCTAAGTATAATAGAATAGAACAAAGTGAAAATTTAGCATATTGTAATGATAAATAGTTCACAGGAAATTTAGATACATATGCACAGATCATGATGTAACACATATTTCTTTAAAAAAAAAAATTGAGAAGCCACTGTTTAATATATGCCTCTGAATTGGAGTCCTGCAGCTAGTGGGGCAGCAATTTCCCAGGAAGAGAACTCTAAGGAAGAGGAGAAAAGAGGTGACTCTCTCCGCTTAGGGGCTCTACAGGAAAGATAAAGGCCTTGAAGGGTAAGTAAACGTCTGTCACAGACCTATGGTAGCTGGGAAGAAGTGTTAAACTCCTGCTGGAAACCAGAACTTTCAATCACTCAAGAGCCAATCCATCAACATCTTACCTTGCAGCGTGCCCACTAGCCCAGTACTAACTCCCGAAATGATGTCACTTAGCAGCCATTCCTTGACTCGGTATTTGGGGAGCCACTCCAAGATGGGCAGAAGAGTCTTTAGCACACCAAAGGCTCTCTTTCTTGAACAACTGTCAAAAAGCAAGAAAACTGGGTTTTCGATCATCCAATCTCAGTCACAACCAATTTGCAAATTCCAAAGTTATGAACCGAATTCTGCTGTTTATAACTATTAAGAAAACAATAATAATTTCATGGAAAATAATAACCCTGACGTGCTTACCATGCTTTTGCCAAGAACTGTATCTATCCTTTTAAATTCACTGTTCTAGAAAACACAGGATTAAGTGTCCCACCCCTCCCTCACCTTTTTAATCCTCTGAGAAAATATTCCTACACAAAAACCTATTTTCTGGTCCAGCCAGAGACTGATGGATGTGGAGTCTCTAAATGGAGATTAATTTTCAGACTCCTAACCCAGGCACCTTATCATTATTATTTTCTTTAAAGAAAATAAACACACTGAGTATATTTTTGCAATAGAAATCTGGAGCTAGTTTTTACAAAAATCTTAGCATGATGAATGAATACCTTGTATCTTGCTGCATAGTTTTTAAATTCAATAACCTATAGATTAAAGAATAATATCAAAAGTAGGTGACTATTATATAACTCCTGATTTGAATAAATTTTTAAAATTATGGCATTTATGGGATGATTGGACATTTTAACGATGACTCAATTTTTAATATTAAGGAGTTATTTTAGATATCAAGGTGTGATAATGAAATGTAGTTATATTTTTAAGAATCTTTAGAGATATACAATAAATGGGATTTGCTTAAAAATAATACTGGAGGGGGCAAGTAGGTGTCCATATAAGAAACAAGATAAACTTTGAGTTGATCACTGTTGAGGCTAAGTGATGGGTAAAAACGGAGCGAGGAGTTCATTGCTTATCTGCTTGTGCATGTATTTGAAATGTTCTGTAATGAAAGGGTTTAGAAACTAATTTATTTATGTTTGTGATATCTAGTTACGGCACATTTGGGTTTAGAGACTGAGGGTGGCTCTCCCTAGGGGTCCCAGCGCCTGCTGGTGAAGTACTCGGCACACCCCGCGCTCCGCTGGGCTCTAGCCTGCATTGTCGCCTCTAACTGAATGGTAGCCCGCCTACTTAGCTTGAGGGTTTCAAGGACTCCTGGTCAAGAGCTGGGTTCCCCTATTCATTTCATTTAAACGATCTTCTTTCACTCCCTTTTCCTCAGGCTGGCCCTCCCATGAAGTCAGCAGGGACCCACTGTACCCCAAGGGGCACTCCGGGTTTCCTTCAGAGAGGAAAAGGAGAGATGGGGGCCCCAGATTCCACAGTCGCCAAAGGCGAATTTCCCAAATAAGTTCATTTCGGGCCCGAGACTGATGGAGCCACTCTCCGACCAGAAGGGCGGCGTGGAGGACCAGAGATCCAAAGTCGGGCCTCTAGGAGAAGCGGTCCGCAGCCCGCAGCCCACGCTCGCCGGCAGGGCACGCCCTCCCCACCCCAAGCCGCGGACGCCCAGCTCCGCTTCTCCCCAAGCGGGCCGGCGCGGCCGCTACCTGCAGCACTTGGCCAGGCTCTCCCGCAGCGTCTTGCGCTCCTGCAGGCGCCGCTCGTGCTGTTGCTGGAAAGCTAGCTCGCTGTAGACCGGACGCGACACCACGTAGCTGCAGCGATACTCGGGGAGCTGCGGAGGCTCCGACCTGCCGCCCGGCGCTGCCATGACCTGAAAGCCGGAGGACGGCGAGGAGGGAGGAGATGCGGTGAGGGAGGACCATCGGAGGTGAAGGGAGAGGAACAGAAAGAAGGGGTCACCTGTTAGCTGCCGCCCGATCCCTCGCCAGCTGCAGTTCAACACCCTGAGTCTGGTCCGCGCTCTTCAGCCCTCGGCGCCCGCGACAAGCGCCCCACGGGGCGCAGGGCCAGCATGCAGGGGGGCACCTGAAGACCTTCGGGTCCCGCGGCCTGCACCCGCTGCCCGGGGCTCCCCAAACTTGAAGACAGTGAGCCCTGCTTTGGGGGCTTCCCGAACTCCACCCAGTCCCCTCTGGCCTGCAGCCCGGGCGCTGTCCGCGTCCTGAAATCTCCCCCAAACCAAGGGGCTGGGGCAAGGCCTAAGGGCGGGTGCAAGGCTGGAAGGGAACACTGAGCGTCCCTCCCTCCCCGCACCTGAGCCGGAACGCAGCTTCAGGTGCGCACTGGGAGAGAGGAGCAGGCCCCCGGGCCAGGCGTGGAACCCTCAGGGCGCGCTCCCGGGGTCCCCAGGCCGCCGGCGCTGCAGGTACATTCAAGCTGCGGTCGCAGCCCTCCCGGGGGCAGAACTTTCAGCGTGTTGAGCAAGTCTCTCCCCACGTCCTGTTTTCCGATCCGCCTTCTCGCTCTCGGCGTCTCAGAAAGAAGGCTGTACTGCCCCCTGCCCGCCTGCTTCGAGTCCCCTCACGAGTCCCATCCGCAACTCTCGAGGCCTCCCCGGGAGTGGAGCCCGGGCCGGGTGTGGGCATCTTCAGGGTGAACTCACCTGTCTTTGCTCGCGCCCCTCCCGGAATGCCCCGGGGACGCCCGTTCCGCTGCCTTTATAGCGCTCTCAGACGGCAGCGAGACGTTTTATTTATGGAGCAACAGAGACACCTTGGTCGAAGGGAAAGACACACAGGCTGCGGTCTTTCTCAACTGATCCTATCAGGAAAGAAATCCTACCCCTCCTGCATTCCTTCCCTTTCCCGAACCAGGAAGGCTGAGAATCTTACTGGATGCCACGTAGGGGCCACCCGGATCCTCATTTATCCCCAGTTACTAACCTCGCGAGCTGCGAGGTCAGGGGCGGGCCAGGCCCTGTGGGACTCCTTAAGGGAGAGTAGAGCCCGACATAGAGGAAGAGGTCCGCGGTCTCTGGGAGTGCTGACCTTGACTCCTAGGTTGTGTGATTCAGGGAACTCCACAGCCTGCCACAGGTGCTCTCATCCAGATGGAGAGGAGAAGAGAAACAGGGTCCAGGTTTCTATATCAATAAACCCTTGAATTTCTAGAAAGTTTTTTAGGAGTATTTAATAGGTGGAGTGTTTAATTAGGGTTATTTAATCGGTGGAGGATACAGAGCGTCCACGGTTTATTCAGATTTTAGCTCCATATTTTATGGGTGCATGTGTGTGTGTTTTATTTCACAATCCAAATCCAGCGTCCAGGTGACCCTTTCTTACCCGCTAGACTCTTTTTTTCTTTTGTCTCATTCTCCTGGACAATCAGGAGTCTAGGACCACATGGAAATCAAGACTAGAAGAGAGAGAGGAGGAGCCGGAGCTAGCCTACCTCATCAGTGTTTTGTCTTCCGTCGGGATAAATTTTGCTAAAACTAATGCCAAAAACCTTCCTTAGCAAAAAGGAAGGGTTTGATAAACCAGAACATTCTCACCTGATTATCAGTGTTCTGATGTAAATACAGAAGAGGCTCCGAAATACAGATGTATGTACATCGACCTTCTGTTACCTTGAATATACAGACCATGATGATTCTACAAGCTCCTGGAAACAGAACTGGTCACCAGAGAACCCTGATGCAAATCACCTGGTATTGTAGAAAGCATGTGCATTTCCTGAAAGTGAATGAGTCAACAGCTTTCAACAGATCTTCAAGGGCTTACTTGACCCAATGAAGTTAAGAACCACTGGAGAAGAAACCTAAAAGGAAAATCCAGGTCATGAACTTTGTAATTTTTATTCACATATAGAGAAGAGGGGAGGAATCTCTTGTGTATGTTTTATTTATGCATACCAGTGGTTCTTAAAAAAGGGCTTTCTTGCCCCCTGAGGTCAATGCCTGGAGGTGTTTTTGGTTGTCACACCTAGAAGTATGCTATTGGCATCTATCTAGTAGAGGCCAGGGATGCTGCTAAACATCCCGCAATGAAGTTTGCTGTCACGCTAAGGTTTTGCAAGCAATTTAAACTGTACATTTATTAATAAATTGCTGCATGTACTGAAATATGTATCTCTCCATATATGTATATATATGTGTGTATTTTTTCATTATTGTTGGATGTATAGCTCAACTCCACTAAACAGAGGAAAGTATTTGTTTTAAAGTAGATTCTGAATATACTCACTCTATATATCCTCATCCACACCTTCAAGATCTGGTGAAAACACTGTCTTCCATGAACATTCTTCGATGCTCTAGGTCAGAATTAATCCAGTCCCTTTTCTGAATTCTCTTAATACCTTATCTGATCCTGTCTTAAGTTACCTCTCTCTCACTAGCTACCTTAGTATCCCAATTTTGTTTACATACAAGTCCTATCTCTGTCACTAGACAATCACTTCTTGAGGGCAAGCACTGTCTCCTTTCAACCATGATTATCTTCTGTTTTTCGAACAGATTTATCTACAACCCAAATATACCTTTAAAAAAATGAAAAATTACATATTTGATCTACAACTTTTTTTTCTCAGTTGAGACCATGCTATGGATATTTTTGCAAGTGAGCACATAAGAATTTTTTCTTAAGTTTGGAGATGGCTATCTAGGATTCCAGAATATCAACTTGTATTCATAGCTCCATGGTAACTCACCTACATAAGTCACAACTCTTTGCTGAATTAAGTTAGAAGGCATTCTGTACAAATACAAATATATTCCATATCCCACTCTAATATGGATTTCTGCTCCCTGTTACTTGCTATTTGAACACTTTCAGTCTGGTCCAGTCAGGCCTGTGAGCCACTTTGCATCAGAACTTGGTTTGCTGGTTCAGAAAGTGGGGTAAGGCTGGTGAAGGACAGAGGAGAAAAGACTTGAATAGCAACAGGAGGCAAAAGAGTAACTTCCCTTGGCTAATAGAATTCTTTGATATGCGTCTTTCTGTATAAGAGTTTGGTTCAATAATCACACTTATAAGTCCTGCATGTGTCTGGATGAAGATAATTGCTTTTTTCTGTTGAATCCTTATTCTATAGCAGAAATACCTGGGGTAGAACAGAACGGTATCTCTGTCAAGGATTCTACAAGGGTATAGAACCGCTTTTCTCATAGGTAAAAGGCAGAGTGTCTGAATTTGGCTGTTTTAAAAACAGAAGAATAGGAGGAAATAACAGCTTGTTCTCCCCACCCAATTTAATTGTGATTTTAAACACCTCAGATTACTCACTTGGGCTTTACAAGTCAATCTTCACCTGCTTCACACAGAGGTGGGTGGTTCTTAACAGATTTTAAATATATTCAGGACTTCTTTCCAAAGAGATAGACGCATCACTTAAAAATAAATGTCAGACAACATTATTGTTACTTTACAGTACTTATTTAGCAGTTAATACTTATTTAAAAGGCATTTCTTATTTATCATTTAGGTATTTGCAGTGTAAGACAAATCTCTTATTTGATTATGCATTCACCTGTTCATTTATTTATTTGTTCATTCATTCATTGATTCAAGGATTTATTAGGAAATTATTTGTGCTGGCCATGGGTACAATGATGAGCAAAAGCTTGTATCCTAGCCTCATATTTGTGGGTGCAGTAGACATTCATCAAATGGTCACAAAATGCAGATCTTATTTCACTGATTATAAAATACAGATTTTTCACATTCTATCAGGATTCATGTTACAATTGATCTACTATATATTACAGTTTAATTGGTAGCATATTTTGTGATTCATAAAATAATTATGTTTTACAATAGCATTCTAGAATTAATAAAATATAGATATTTACGTAAATTTATAATATATCTATGCCTTTTTTGTCTTTCTTAGAGACTGATCTTGCTATTTTGCCCAGGCTGGACTTGAACTCCTAGCCTCCAGAATAGCTGGGACTACACGTGCACACCACCACATCCGGCAAAGTATCTATCCTTTTGAGTGACTACATGTGCTACAAGAATTATTTAATTGAGTCCTTCCTTTATTTAACTTAAGAGCAGTCAATCTTGCTACATTATTTTTGTCTGAGAACCAATATAATGATATAAATATTCTTTCTTTTTTATATAATTAAAAATGTTCTCTAATCGGAAGAATTGCAGAAGAATGTTACCATGTTGGCTGGGCACTGTGGCTCACAGTGTAATCCCAATATTTTGGGAAACTGAGGCAGAAGGATCACTTGAGCCAGGCCTAATCCTAAGCTTGTATTTCCATTATGCATGTTAACTTTCTCAAGATAGCAGGTGCTAAATTTCTGCCATATTTATACATAAAGAGAACTGAACTGAACTTTCTTTCAATATTTCTGATCTCTCCTTCTCTGAACAACTTATTGGATTTTTCTCAGTAATTGTACAGTTTTGCACTCAACTGTTTTCTTGTTTTTCTTTTTTGTTGTTGTTATTTTTATTTTGCACTCAACTGTTTTCTATTTGTTTACTGCATGCTACTTTATTTTCTTCTCCAGTTATGAGATATGCTCCTTAAGGACATAAATATGTTTTTTATGGTATTACAAAAAAAAGATGTGCCTATAGTAAGCAATCTGGAAACTGCATTAATGTATAAAATAGTAATCACGTTGTCTCATTATCCAGATAATCACTAAGTGTTTTGCTTATTTTTTAATTTATTCTTTCCATGCAGACATAGGTATACATTTTTATTAAGTTAGATTACAATGCTAGTCTCTTTTTATTTCTCTACACAATACCTTAACAAATTATGACAACATAATAGTTTTTATTTATCCAGGCCAACCGCACTTGGCCTGGATGTTTTCTTTCTTTTTTTTTTTTTTTTAGAGATGGTCTCACCTCAGCCCCCAAAGTAGCTGGGATTACAGGCCTGTGCCACTATGTCAAGCCAATAATGGCATACCAGACTTATTAAATTATTGATCCATTTATTGTTTAATAATGGAATTTTGAGAAATCATTGAGTAGAAATAGAACTAGTTTAAAAGAAGAGAATCCAACCCTTAAAATATCAAAAGAAAAATGAATTATTTGTAAACATTATGTGGCAATCCATTTGATTTTAAACAGCTTACAGTGTCAATAAAAATATAACTCAATAAATTTCTCAGGCATTAGAGGCAATCTGCCTCTTCTTTAATATTAATGCAAACTTGATATGTGATTTAGTAAATTGTTAGCATGCAATAATGGCATGATTTTGGATTTTGGGGGATTTTCTATTTTTATTTGTTTGTTTTGGAGCTAGGGTCTGGCTCTGTCACCCAGGCTGAAATGTAGTGACACTATCTCAGCTCACCACAACCTTTACCTCCAAAGCTCAAGACATTCTCCACCTCAGCCTCCCAAGTAGTTGGGACTACAGGCATGTTCCACCACTCCTGGTTAATTTTTGTATTTTTTGTAGAGACAGGATTTTGCCATCTTGCACAGGCTGGTCTTGAACTCTTGTGCTCAAGTGATCTGCCCAGTTGGGCCTCCCAGGGTGCTGGGATTACATGTGTGAGCCACCACACCCAGTCAGGTTTCTTTTTTTTTTTTTTTTTTTTGAGACAGAATTTCGCTCTTGTTACCCAGGCTGGAGTGCAATGGCGCAATCTCTGCTCACCGCAACCTCCGCCTCCTGGGCTCAGGCAATTCTCCTGCCTCAGCCTCCCGAGTAGCTGGGATTACAGGCACGCACCACGATGCCCAGCTAATTTTTTGTATTTTTAGTAGAGACGGGGTTTCACCATGTTGACCTGGATGGTCTCAATCTCTTGACCTTGTGATCCACCCGCCTCGGCCTCCCAAAGTGCTGGGATTACAGGTGTGAGCCACCGCGCCCGGCCCAGGTTTCTTTTAATGTTTGTTTTAATGGTGATTTTTTTTTTTTTTCAAGAGATGGGATCTGGCTTTGTTGCCCAGGCTGGTCGCAAACTCCTGGGCTCAAACAATCCTACCACCTCGGCCTTCCAAAATGCTGATTATAAAAGGAGATTACAGGCATGAGCCAACTGCACTTGGCCTGCATGTTTTCTTTCCTTTTTTTTTTTTTCTTTTTCTTTTTAGGAGATGAGGGTCTTACCTCAGCCTCTGAAGCAGCTGGGATTACAGGCCCGTGCCACTATGTTGAGCCAATAATGGCATAGTTTTCTAAGCAAAGAATAATTTGAGGATTCTTCCAAATTTCTTATTATTTAGGTGTATTGTACTTTTAAAGTTATCCTTGCATATCTTATCTCATAAACTCGGTGGTTTGTTAATGGAGGGAGAAAAGGGAAGCTTGAAGATTATTACAAGTATAAACGCTGATGCGCTGTGTTACTAGGAGCTGGATGTTTAAGTATTCCACTGATTTGTTTGAGTATTCATTCATTGATGCATACCTTTACATACTTACTCCATGAGTATTTAGTGAGCCCTCAACTTCTATCAAACACTATCTAAGTGTTGGGGATATAGCAGTGAACAAGCTTGTGAAGGTTCCTGCCTTCAAAGTACTTATATTCTAATAGGCGACAGTGACTATCAGCAAAAAGCTAAATCAGATAACATTCTATCGTGATAAAAAGCTGTAGGAGAAAGAAACAGAAAGACGTCTTGTGGAATTATTGATGGAGTAACACACAGCATGGGAAGGGGGAGGACTGCTTTAGAGCGAGTGTTCAGGGAAGGCCTTTCTGTTTCAGAGGAAATGACATTTGAAGAGAGACTGAAAGATGAGAAAGAGACAGCCTTCCTGGAAGAGGAAACAGGAAATGCAAAAACTTTGAGTTAAGAAATAACTTAATGCACTTGAGAAACAGAAAGAAGGCCAGCATGACTGAAATCCATGTAAGTCAGAGCTGGGGACAGCAAACTGGAAGGCCTCAGTAAGTATGTGGCAATTGAAACCAGGCATTTAGAACGAGGAGAGAGGCAGCCGGGCGCGGTGGCTCACGCCTATAATCCCAGCACTTTGGGAGCCCAAGGCGGGTGGATCACGAGGTCAAGAGATCGAGACCATCCTGGTCAACAAGGTGAAACCCCATCTCTACTAAAAATACAAAAATCAGCTGGGCATGATGGCGCATGCTTGTGATCCAGCTACTCGGGAGGGTGAGGCAGGAGAATTGCTTGAACCCAGAAGGCGGAGGTTGCAGTGAGCCGAAATCGTGCCATTGCACTCCAGTCTCGGTAACAACAGCGAAACTCCATCTCAAAAAAAAAAAAAAAAGAAGGAGGAGAGAGGCAGATAAAAGGCCAGCACACAGCCCTCAGGCAGTCAAACATTTAGAGGTCCTTTACAGGAGGAGATGAGGGACCTCTTTGGTAAAATGCTGAGAATCCTTGAACTCAGGTGGTGAGAAAAAAAACACCTCTAAAATATTTTAAACTTCTTGGAGATATTTCTCTCAATAAAATTTCTTTGGGTATGTTTAAAACCTGTATCTTTTAATGACACTTGTAAAGGGAAAAAAAAAATCTGAACATTTGACACTTGTCCCTCCTTTTTTTTTTTTTTTTTTTCTGAGACAAAGTGGCACAGCTGGAGTGCAGTGGTACAATCTTGGCTCACTGCAATGTCGGCCTCCTGGGTTCAAGTGATTCTCTCCTCAGCCTCGCAAATAGCTGGGATTACAGGCATCAGCCACCATGCCTGGCTAATTTTTGTATTTTTAAAAGAGAGGGGGTTTCTCCATGTTGGTCAGACTGGTCTCGAACTGCTGGCCTCCAGTGATCTACCTGCCTTGTCTTCCCAAAGTGCTGGATGAGCCACCGTGCCTGGCCGTGTCCCTCGTTATTGCATGTATAATTAATCACTTTTCTTTTTTGGTAACGGTGGCACCTTATACTCAGTAAGTCTTCCTCAGTAGTCAAGGACTCCTTCACTACTGGAGAAACTGATCTAGGCAATCAGGCTAATGACTTTTGGTAGAAAACAGCAGTGTATCATCCAAGGCAGTTCATTTTTCCTTTGGGGTGGGGGAGGTTGCAGTGTAGCTGACAGCTATTTTGCATTATAAAGAATGTTTTTTAAATGTATTCATAGCCCTTGTATTAAACTATACATTAGTAACAACACAATCCTAGAATTTACTGTTTTGGTTTTGTTTGTTGAGACAGGGTCTCCGTTCGTTACCCAGGATGGCGTGCGATGGTGGGATCATAGCTCATTGCAGCCTCAATCTCCCAGGCTCAAGTGATCCTCCCACCTCAGCCTCCTAAGTAGCTGAGACTTCCAGCTTGTATCACCATAACTGGCTATTTTTTAAAAAACATTTTTGTAGAGACAAGATTCCACTATGTTGCCCTGGCTAATCTAAAACCCCTGAGCTCAAGTGATCCTCCTGCCCCAGCTTCCCAAAATGCCGAGACTACATGTGTGAGCCACTGCACCAAGCCAGAATTTACTGTCTAATTCTTCATTTAAAGTGAGTCTTAAATATCAACAGAGATAAAGCCTGTAAAGGGACAGAGAGGTGCAATGAGCAGGAGAAGAATGAAAGAAGGACAAAGCTGAGGAAGGCTGAAGAGAAAGAACCAGAGACCAGGAGGGAGGCTCACGGCAGTATTCATGCCATGTGGCCTGATGCAGTCTAACTTGAAAGTCGACCTGAAAACTAAACTGCTTTTGAGCATAAGTATTACCTTGAGGTGGGTACTGTCATCCCCATTTTACAAATGAGGGATTGTACACAGTAAAGCTAAATTATTTGTCCAAGGTCATACAGCTTAGCCAAGCTGAAATGTGAACTCAAGCAGTCTGAGGTCAAAGCTCACTCTCTTTACTACTGCAAAACTACACAGGGTTTCATTATATCATAGAACCTCCAGCCCTTTCATATTATCCCATCCCAGTC